AATTGCGAACGTCCAGCGACTGCTGCCACACGAAAGGAGCGAGGGCTGCCAGGCGTGGCTGGGCCCCCCCCCCCCCCTCCCACCCGCCCCCTTCCCCCCAGCCGGGACACATCCCCGCCGGCCTCCAGCCCCAAGCGGGTCTGTCGGGGAGTGGGGGGGCTGAGCCAGGGGCTGCATCCCTGGGGCGTGTGCCGAGAGCCTGACACCCACAGCCGGGGACGCACATGGGTCCCAGCTCTGGTCAAGGGCACGCTGGCACCACGCGGGTGCAACATCCCGCAGCTGCGGGGTCCTGGCCATTCCCCGCAGCAGGGCTTCCCCCAGGAGCCTGCGCTCGGAGGGAGCGATGCTATCCTGCAGGTTCGCGGTCTCACGTGCCCCCGTGCATCCGTTGCAGTGTCCCCCCGAGCCCGTGTCCTGCCCCACTGCGCATCCCCGGCACAGCGCAGCTGACAGCAGGGCTGAGGGGTCCCCGAAGCGTCACCCCAGACCCCGTGCCCTGCCACACCGCGCATCCCGGGTACTGTGCAGCCGGCACCGGTGGGGCCATTGCTGCGTCCCACGGAGGTGCAGAGCCGGGGGCTGCCCCCTGCGCTGCGCTGTCCCCTCTGCCCCAGGGTCCCTGTCACCAGGAGGGGCTCAGCCCCGGGGTGCCCATGTGTACCCCCATCCCCTCTCTGCCCTGGCCCCTGGCACCCTGCCGAGAGCTGGCAGGGCTGCGGGTGATGTCAGGGCTGCGTACACGTCAGGCGCTTCCACGTCGCGACCTTGCTAAAGTCCAAGCCCGGGGCCTGTGTCACAGGCCTGCGTGGAAGCTGCCGAGGGCACTCGGGATGCATAAATAGCAGCCGGGCGCTCCCCGGCGCAGCAGGTACCCGCACCCGGTGGCAGCGCAGGTGAGCGGCTGAGGCGGGGAGGTGGGGAGAGCTGGCGGTGGAGGGGAGGCGGCGCGGGGCTGGGGGGCTGCTGGCCCCCGGCGCTCCCTTCATCTCTGCTCTGCGCTCCTGCAGGCATCCCCAGCACTCAGGATGTCTCCCAAGGCGGCCGCCCTTGTCCTGGTGCTCCTTGCAGTCTCAGGTGAGGCGGCGTGCGGATCCCCGGTGCCGGGAGGGTGGTCCTGCCCCGGGGCAGGGATGGGGACCTGATGTCCTCAGGGGAGCTGCTGAGCGGGGCCATGGCAGTGCTGATCCCGGCATCCGCTTGCAGGGGCACGGGCTGATGTCAACCCGGACGAGGTGGCCAGCGTGCTCTGGAAGTACTTCACCGAGCTGGGCAGCAATGCCAAGGAGACGGTGGACCAGCTGCAGCAAGCCGAGATCACCAAGCAGCTCAAGTGAGCGGAGTCGCGGGCTGGGGCGGGGCGGACACGCACACGGCGGCGGCCTGGAGGTGCTGGGCAGGGGAGGGGGCCGTGGGTGCGCCGGGGTGCTGACGTCCCCCCTCTCCCCAGCACCCTGCTGGAGACCAAACTGCAGAGCGCCAACTCGTACGCCGAGGACCTGCAGCGGAGGCTGGTGCCCTTCGCCACGCAGCTGCAGGCACGGCTGGCGCAGGACTCGCAGCGGCTGAAGGAGCAGATCCGGCAGGAGCTGGCGGAGCTGCGGGCCAAGCTGGCGCCCTATGCCGACGAGGTGCACCAGCAGATCAGCACCAACATCCGCCAGCTGCAAGCCAAGATGAGCCCCTACGCTGAGGAGCTGCGCTCCCAGGTGGACCGCGGGGCCGGGGAGCTGCAGCGGGTGCTGGAGCCCTACGCCACCGAGCTGCGGGACCGGCTGCAGGACAACGCCGAGAGCATCCAGGCCTCCCTCAGCCCCTATGCCGACCGGCTGCAGCAGCAGATCGACAGCGGGGTGGAGACCCTGAAGGAGCGGCTGGCTCCCCTGGCCGACGAGCTGAAGGCGCAGGTGGGGCAGAGCGTGGAGGAGCTGCGGCGGGGGCTCAGCCCCTACGCCCAGGAGGTGCAGGACGGCCTCAACCGGCAGCTGGAGAGCCTGACGGCGCAGATGGAGCGGGCGGCGGAGGAGCTGCGCACCCGCCTGGCCGCCAGCTCGGAGGAGCTGCGCGCCCAGCTCAGCCCGCTGGCCCAGGAGAGCGCGTGGGGCAGACGCTGGAGGCTTTCCGGCAGCAGGCACCCCCCTTCGGCGAGGCCTTCGGGCAGCAGCTGGTGGAGCGGCTGGAGGAGGTGGGGGGGGATGGGCTCGGGCTCGGAGTAGCTGCGCGCCCAGCTCAGCCCGCTGGCCCAGCGGCAGGTGCAGGTGGCTGGCAGCGACGCCGAGAGCCTGCAGCAGCGGCCTGGACGCGGGCACCGCCGGCGTGGAGGACCACCTGGAGCTGCTGGAGAAGGAGGTGCGGGAGAAGGTGGCCGCCTTCCTCAGCACCGCCCAGCCGGCGGAGAACTGAGACACCCCCCCCCAGCACGGGGTGGCCGTCCGTACCCCCACACCACGAGTGTTCACGGCCGCTCCCTGCGGCAGAAATAAACTGGCTCCCTTGTGATGCACGTGCTGGTCTGTGTCTGTCCTCTTCTGCAGCACCCCGCCATCCCGCCCCGGGACGGGCGACCTGGGGCACCAGGTCCAGCTGCTCCAAGGGGAGAGCATCACCCCCGAATTCGGGTCCCAGGGCACCTCGGAGAGGGAACGGAGGTGGGGCCAGGCGGGTGGGGGGCTGGGTCCCCGGCACAGGGATGCAGGCACTGCCCGGGGCCGGGGCCCCGGTGTATGGCCCAGCTTCCTCACCGCAGCGGGGCCAGCTGCTGCCATGGGGGACAAGTCCCTGCAGGCTGCCCCGGGCGGGGGATGGACACCTCATCCCCCCCACCCCGTGGCCCCGCGGGGACTGTGCCCTGACACAGCGGGGCTCAGACTGGCGGGGAGAGGGGCCTTGTCCCCAGGAGCTTCCCAGCTCAGGGAGAAGAAAAGAGCACTGGAGCTATGGCCACAGCAAGCGCCCCGAGCCACTCCGCCGGTGGGTGCCCCGTGAGGACCGCTCCCACGGGCGGAGGGATTTCCCGCGTGGGCTGCAGTGGCAGGAGCCGCAGGATGGGAGTTTGGCCAGGGCTGCTCGGGGCAACCCCGCGCGTCCGCACGGGCGAGGGAGCAGGGTGGGCTTCGGTGCCAGAGGAGTGTCGGCCAGCGCTCGGAGCTTCACCCCTGCGGTGCGCGCCTGCGCCCCAGCCCCGCGCCCCCCAGCCCCGCCGGGGAGATGTCAGTCCCGGTGGGTCCCTGTTTGCTGGGTTGCTTCAGTGCAAACATTGCAGCGCTCTCCTGATTTGAAAGCCCGGTGTCAGCAGCCAGCACTCTTCATGGGGATGAGACCCGAGCTGAAAACACTGCCTTTTTTTTTTCCCGGGGGAAAGGCAACTTGCAAAGGGAATACACCGGAACGCAGCGGGTTTGGTATCCCGGCGGGAAGCGGGGCCGTGCAGCCGGCAGTTTGCAAGCAGGCAGCCCGCACGGAAGGCGCACTCTCTCGCCTGGGCTGCAGACACGGCCACTGGGCTCGTTTCACCCTTCCCTGGCACAGCCGGAGCCGGGCTCATCCTCCCACACCCACCCTGGCCCCATCCCGGGGGTCCGGGCTCCCTTTCCCCCCCCGGTTTGGGCTGTGAGCCCCTGCGACAGGAGCTGCCAGCCGGCGAGCTGCGGCTGGTGTCCCTGGCCCGCTGCGCTGCAGCCCTCGCCACCCTGGCAGATCCCATCCACTGTTTGCTCCGCGACGCAAAGGTCGGCTGCGAGGGCAGGGTCAGCCCCGTCCCGAGAAACCTGCAGAGCAAGCAGCGAGGGCTCCCTTATCACAGGGAAAACAAGGGCCGATCCAGCGGGACGGCATCTGGCCGGCGTTCGGGCAGCTCCGGCCCGGGAGATGCTCGGGGAG